GTCGACCACAGTTCGAGTCCCGGACCCGGGGTCTTAAACTCATTCCGGGTGTGTGTACGTGCATGCCCAAGATACCGAGAGGAGAATGGAGGAGAAGGGATTGCGGCGTGGCCATCCCCCCAAGGGGTGAGTTCTTACTTTCTGTCTCTCTTTCTGGTGAGCACATGCACCCTGTAGCAAACAAAAACAAACAAACAAACAAAACCTCCCCCCAAAAAAGAGAGAGCTAGAAATAGAGGAGCTGTTACTGTATTTACAGAATGAGTAAAATTAAGCAGTATATTCAGAGTTGGTATGTGATCAATGCTTTCTGAAAGCCTATATTTAAAGTAGGTGTATTGTAGAAATAAAGTGTTTATTTAAAATAATAACATTCAACAAACATATTGACTGCATATTGTGTACTTGGTATTTTCAAAGGTATTATTTCATTTAATAATGTTTACAATTTTTCTTTACATTTTTTGAGAGTGAGACACACACACACACACACACACACTCTCTCTCTCTCCACAAGATCTTGCCATGCCACAATCCTTCCCCCAGCCTCCCAACCAGGCAGGATCCTGAGCCTGTGTGGGAGCACCTGAAATATTCAGGTCACCCAGGATCCTCATGTGGGCCTCCCATAAGCCTCAGTATTGCACAGCAGTGTCCTACTGCCTGTACCTTTGTGGCTGGGCTTCATCTCCTAATATTTTAGTCTCCCCCAGCCACAGAAACATGCCAGCCCCACTTAAAAGTTGAGCAAACTGAGACTCAGAGAGGTTACTCAGCATGTTTCAGGTCAAACAGCAGATCCCAGGTTTCTGATCTCAACCTCCCTGCTCCTTCCCACCCTTTCTCAGAAGTGTTGCTGCTGACACCTTCATTCCTGATAGCAAGTCTGCACTCACAGTAGCCAGCCAGTACCTTTTGTCTGGTAAAACCCAGGGCTGGAATGTGACAATCTTGAAGAACCTAGAAAAATGAGCACTTCTTAGCCCAAACCTAAGTGTCTTCTTAGGTTGACTTCAGTAGCTTAAGATATTTGGGTTCTGACCTTTTGAGCATATAATTTTATGTAAAGGCACTCAGCTACTTTTGGTTTAAATATTTCCAGAGGCTATTTATATCTCCCCCCCAAAAAAAAACATTTAAAAAATAAAAAGATTAATTATGAAATGTTAGGGGTTAGAGAGAGAAAATGACAAGGTAACAAGAGATCTTAGAAAGGAAGGTCATTTAAATCTCTTGGGAGGTATCAGTTATTTAAGAAAGATATGCTGTTGTTGCCACACATAATAAGTTACTCTTAAAAAGGCATTTATCCCTGATGATGTGATAGTTTTTATAGACTAGTTTGGTGAACCAGATGTCATTTTAATGTGTGAATTTTGGTAAGCCATGTTTACGTGGAATTTTAATTACTTAATTACTTTGAAACAACCATTCTAAATTATCAAGTCTGCTCACTTGCATTTTGTTTGCAGCTATGATCATTCAGTTTTGGGATTTAAAGTCAAGAGGCCTTCAAATGTATGTATCTGGCTAGAGTTTTTTACTTCCTATTATCTAAAGAATGCTGTTGAGACCCTATTTTATGATTTGTTCAAGTCATTTGAAATGATTATTTGTTGTTCTGTTCCCTTGAAAAGTGATCTGGATATCATACTTATTTGCACAGAGCTCCATGCATCAATTAACATTATACTCTTTTAGTTATGAAGAAAAAAATCCCACAGAGCCTCATACATGGAAATATACAAGCTTTATTTAAATATCCGATCGTTGGGCCAGCAGGTGGCATGGAGCTTAAGGAGGCTGGATCCCACATGGCCAACTTGGTGATTCCTGGACCTGTAGCTTGGAAAACACACTGGGCGTCAGAGACAGAACTGTGCTGTGGCCCTCACCCCGGGGGATGATTTCTCACTTCTGCTCTCTGTCTCTCTCTGCTGAGAACATGCACCCTGTAGCAACCTCCAGTTGTTTTCCCTTCTTATGTACTATCGGAATGACAGATTTTTATCCATTTTAATAAGTCATTGGGTTTAATCCAGAGAACGTTAAAAACAAGGTTCCTAGCATTCAATCTAGTTAATCATCTTACCCCGTAACCTTTGAAGAAACCAACAAAGAGCCAGCTCTGAAGCCCGCCGATAAGGGAACTGGATCCCACGTGGGTGAGCACGGTTCAAATCCTGTGTGCACGTGTGCCCCAAATCCCAACAAAACAGAGAAGTGGGAAAGAAGGGGCTGTGGCATGTGCACTGCCCACGATGGGATGCATTCTTCCTCTCTGTCTCTACCTGGCAGGTGCACTCTGGCGATTCAAAAGGGAGAGAAAGGCCAGCTATGATTACTGAATTATGATAATGTTTAACTGTGGAAAAGTTTGACTTGTTAAAAAGCTTATTCTTGGGGTCAGCAGATGACATGGTGGTTAAGGTGCTTGATTCCCACATGGATAATTGTGGTTCGAGTCTTGGACCCGGTGGCTTGCTTTCTCACTTTCCTTTTCTCTGTTTCTCTTGGGTCAAATTTAAAAATCATAATCTTAGATAAAATTAAATAAATAGTTCTTTAAAAAAAGCTTATTCTTAAATTAGTAAAAGTCATTTGACAGATAAGGAAAAGGAGACAGGATTCATAAAAGGGGTAACTATAAAAATAACTTACTCACTACCTCTTTTTTGAACTTTGGATTCTACCACAATTTCTTGAGGTATCGAAACCAAGCCTCTTTTCTCATAGAGCTAACAATCTTTGAGAGTCTAATTCTGACTACTGTGAAAATTGAAATAGTGAGATAGGTTAGTTTACAAATTAGTGACCCTCTGGGACCAGCAGTTAGCGTAGTGGCTATGTTGCTGAACTCTCACGTAGTCGACTGCGGTTCAAGTCCTGGAGCCGGTGGTTTAAACTCACGCAGGTGCGAGTGGATGTGTGCCCAAGATCCGAGAGGAGAATGGAGGAGAAGGGATTGCGGCGTGGCCATCCCCCCTGGGGGGTGATTTCTCACTTTCTGTCTCTCTCTGTCCTTCTGGCAAGCGCATGCGCCTTATGGCAAAAACCTCTTAAAAAAAATAAATAAAAAAGAAGAAAGTTCAAAGTGACTTAGATTGGTCTTCTAAAGACATGGTCTAGTGACTTAGAATTTCAACGGTGATTTTAATTACAAAGAGGGCTGGGCGGGCAAGGACAAGATACTGGAATCCTGAATTCCTTTTAGAATGTCCATGATTGTGAATTGTTTGTGCTATTTTAACATTTCAAGAGAAGGTGTTTCCCCCTGAAAAGCTATGGAGATATATAGCTATAGATATCTGGTAGTTATCTGGCTTTTTGAAAGCTGCTTTTAACTTGAAGGTGCTGCGACTGATAGGCAACGAAATGATTCCGCTCCAGAACTGCTTTGGAGATTCAGTTACTGCTTGTTTCCAAAAGATAGCAGTGTTGCCTTTTTTTCCGCCAGCAGCACTTGACAACCAGTTCCAGCCTGAGCTTGAGGTGGCAGGGACCAAGCACTGCTGGGCACTAGGGAGCCGCTGTGAAGCGGATAGTCAAGAGTGTGATAAACAAAGTGTTGAGAGTGATGTTAATTTTGTGTAGGGGTCAAGAAAGGGCTCAGAGAGCAGGTGACATTTCAGAGGACACTAAACCAAGAAAAACCTCTGGCTGCCTAGAGAAGGGAAGGGTGGGATGTGTACCAACGGCAGAGGGAGTAGGAGAGCACAGGCGTGGGATGTGAGGGGACTCTTGAAGAAAGGGCAAGTGGTTGCTGGCGCATGGGACTACCGGACTCCACAAGTCAGTGTGAGAAAGAACATGAGCCATACAATGTATCAGAAAGCTGCAATCATTTCCATTTCTAGATGTACAAGAAGAAATCTGGAAGAATTGTCTATTTATTGTCCACTCAGCTCCCTTCCAGGCACTAGGGAAGATAGGAGAAGTTGCTTGCCCTGAACGTGTTGATCCTCTCTCTGGAAGAAAGATGAACTCACAGCAAATAATTTAAAATAATACGACAGTCTCTAAGGCAAAGCAGTAGACTGCCTGAAACTCAGGTTGGAAAATACTCGGCTGCCCTGGAATTTTCCATAGTGATGCAGGTATGCTTGGGGCCCACTGAAGGAGGCTTAGAGCTCCTCCATCCCAGAATCAGGGATAAAGGCGATGGCTAAGCCTTACAGAGCACTTCTAAGTAGTGGGCTTACATGGAGTAACCGATACATCTTCACAATTACCCTGTGTGAGGGACACAGTTAATATCTCCAGCTTACATATGGAGAAACCAAAGCACAGGGACGCAGCCCGAATTCCAGTCCTTCAGAGGCTCTGACCCCAAAGTCATGCAGTCTTTTTCATCTTAGTATCCTCAAAGTCGAACACAGGATCCAGGGCTGGGTGTGAAGATCTTTTAAAATATATCTATAGTACAATTATTATAAATTTCAAATCAGAACAAACATTGGAAAGCTCCAAATGTGTAGGTAAGGAGAAACGAATTTTTAGCTGTACAGCCTGACTCAAGGCTAGCAAAAAAAGTTTTGTTTTTTTTTTTTAATTTATATTTTTTTCCCCCTTTTGTGACAATTTGGTGTTTCTGAACGCTAGGGGCTCCCTGATTCTCTGGTTTGAGAGCAACTTTTCCTTTTAGGATTTTTTTTTTTTTCCCTCGAAGGGGGTGGGGGAAAATGTGGCCTTAATTATCCTACGTCTTAGGCAGCTTAAGGAAGGGGTTGTGCTTTCAGAATCCCAACGAGCCAAGTAAGGAGGTCCCTCTCCCCCCCGCCCCCCTCTTTTAAAGGACCTCGTGAAATAAAAGTGCAGAAAACAAACCCAGGCGATCACAGCAGCAGCCGCCGCGGCAGCAGCAGCAGCAGGAGCA